CAAATTGTACTTTTCACAAATTCTCTACGTAGATATAAGAGTGCATATGTATGTGTGTATGTATGGTACCTACATATGCATGCTCATACATTTGCGCACGTGAGCATTTAACGACTTTAGCACATGGCACATACTCGGGCATATCAGCAGCAATGTACATGTAGGATCCTTATGTATGCAGCGCTCATAAGCTTATGGCAGAGGCGGAGGGGTGATACTTAAACTGGGAATGATACTCAGCATAGCTTGCCATAGGCAATGTTAGTTATCTCTACTCATAACCTTCCTCTGTTCATTCATGGACTCTTTGGCCTCATTCAGTATTTATGCTCAGCTGCATCCTATGAGTGTGTAGCTTTATATGTATGTACCATTGCATTTTTCCTATTTTTAGTTTAAAATTTCAACTGTTGCGAGGAAGATGCTTACGTCTGTCAGTGTATTTGAGCATGCAGTCTGTCAGGTTTTCTTGGGCATCTGCATAAGATGATAAATATTTCAGTTAGTTTTCAATTATTGTTAAAGACGAAATACATTTTTACTATTTGATATTAAAATTGATATTTTAAGGAAATACAAGAAACACACTTCATTAAAAGGACGAGCTTGTTTTTGACAGATCTCTTGCAAAATTTCCCTCTTGGGTACCAAGTAGTTCAAGTAGACTTAAACTTTTCGTCAACTCATCAATATAGGGCTTGAAATACAAAACTCCGGCTAGACGAGTACACTCACCGATTTTCATCTGAGGTATAATTCTAAGTCCATATAATAAGACTTCTATCATCATCTATGCATGCAAAAGAGCTATCGAGCAGACAAGACATGGTTACGACCCCAGATTTGTGGACGTATCAGTGGCAAGACAAACAGTCTTCTCAACATTTTACTACTAAACTTGATGGTCTAGAGTGTTAAACGTGCTTTGTTTAAGGAAGTCATACCCTAGTACTCAACTTTTGGGCACTAGGAAATATTTTCCATACCAAGCAACACAGCGCGTTAAGTTCAATTTCATTTATTGCAAACATTTTCAATGCAGGATACTCCGAGGGGAGGAATGAAATAATTATCACGATACTCCTCTTCCAATATTTATATGGAAAGGCGAAAAGAACCAAAGCAGACTATCTGTCATAAGGATATCTCGGACTGTTAACAAAACCTAGCAGAACCTTCTTATTAAGCAACGCATGAGTATGCCCTTTGTCTTATGTAAATCGTTCTTATTTAAAGAGGGTCACCTCTTACTAATAGGAGTTACTGCAAGAGATATAATAATTATAAGGACGAAGTGATCTCTCATAATTATTTGACGTCCCTGTGCAAGATTTAGTTCATCTATCTCTGCTTATTTAGGACGGGACGCGAAATGGATGAATATTAGTCGGATGTTCTGAACGTCTATTCAATGTTAGCCACTCAAACCTAACCTAGCCTAACAACTGATCTAATTCTCCCATTGACAAGTTCATTTAGTGGCACAAATTATATTTGAATATTGCAGAAGATTAATTTTAACACTACCTACTTTCAAGGTGTTAAACCACTTACTCTCGGGGGCTAATTGCGATCACCTCTCTCTTGTTGCTTGTGTAGCACGTAGTGCCGTCTTGTTGAAAGCAAACGTTGTCCATATCAATACCATCCAATTGCGGCCATAAAAAATCATTATTCGTCTTTCGGACCATAAACCGCACCAAACAGTTATATGTAGCCATCAAGTTGGATTGGGCCTCAGCAGTCAAGATGATTTTTCAATGAAATTCCGAATAATTTTCATGTATTTTAATAAAGATTATATTAAGGATAATGTTAACTGGGCTTTATAAGACTTAAGATCCCAGTACTTATGCAAAATACGGTTTAACGACGTTTGTGGAATGCCCAGGAATAGACAACCTGGGTTTTCTTAAACATTTTGGCTATAGCAGCAATGTTCTCAGTTGTTCTTGACTGACGTATTTTATTCTTTACAACACTAACTTGGCCTATCCGCTCCATGTTTTCCACCGATTTGCGGTCCGACGAGATGCTTTACTACGATCAAAAAATGTCTCTGCCATTTTCCACCATTTTTATAGTCAGTTTTAATAATTTCAATGCGTTGTTGAAGCGTGTATCGTTCCATTTTTATTAGTGGCGTAGTTTTTACCATACGGGTCACATGATCTAGCCAGCGTAGCCGCTGCTTCTTGATTCGCTGAACTATATCAATGTCGCCGTATAACTCGTGCAGCTCATCGTTACATCGTCTGCGTTATTCGCCTTTGCCAATGCGCAAAGGACCATAAATCTTACACAAAACCTTTCTCTCGAAAACTCATCAGATATTGTGATCGTCCATGCTTCCGCACCATATAGCAGGACGGGAACGATGAGGGACTTGTAGAGTTTGGTTGTCGTTCGTCGGGAGAGGACTTTACTTTTCAATGTGGCAGGGATTCTGCGCTGAATTTCAAGGCTGACATTGTTGTTGGTGTTAATACTGGTTCATAATTAGACGAAATTATCTACGATTTCAAAGTTATGACTGTCAACAGCGACGTGAGAGCCGAGTGGCGAATGCGATAACTGTTTGTTTGACGATAGGAGATATTTCGTCTTGTCTTCGTTCACTAACAGACCCATTCGCTTCGCCCCTTTATCAAGCCTGAGAAGTAGAACGGCACGGTTGTTGAGGCCAATGTCATCGGCGTACGCCAGTGGTTGTATACTCTTATAGAAGATTGCACCTTCTCTATTCAGCTCTGCAACTCGTATTATTCTCTCCAGCATAAAATTGCAGAAATCACACGACAAAGAGTCACCCTGCCCGAGGCTGAGTATAAGTTTTGCGGAGATACCAAATTCAGACAAAGCGTCGTAGAGGTAGCTTCTTTTCTTGTTGTCGAAGGCGGCTCTAAAATCTACGAAGAGATGGTGGGTGTCGATCCTCTTCTCACGGGATTTTTCAAATACTCTTACTTGGGGATATTTCATTTTCTTGCTCGGCTTAGTTTTCCAGCTTATACAAATATTAATATAATAAAAATCTGAAGGCTTTCAACAGAGAAGACATTTCACTGGGTCAAACATGCCTGCTCATAAATAAATTTCTATATGAATAAATCTACGAGTTACTTTTCTCGACGCTTTTTACGATATACCGGTACTTATCCATGTACACATGTCCATACATATACTTGTTTGACGGTTATATATACAAGTTTGTGTGAGAATTTTCAATCAGTTCACGCGATGGTATGTGTGTGTTCATATCTTGAAATATATAAGTTTAAAAAAAAATATATATGTTTATGTTGGCTATTACTCTGAAAGCGACTGAATTTCAGGTCGTCGGCCTTATTTTAGTATTATACATACATACATATTTATGTAATAATGCCTGCCTGCCACTACATCGTGCAATGGCAGAAAGTCACACTATTAGGCGAGATTATACATACGTACATATGTATGTACATATGTATAAATGTGCGTTTTCACACATTTTTATAAATGCACACTCCGCTTATTTCGTATGAATAAACTTCATAGGAACTTTAAATTTATTAGTCAACATTTTTTGTTAGCACAAACCAAGGTAAATTTACACACGGTAGTAGCAGGACTACAAAAACAAAAATTCCATGAATTTTTTTCGTGTAATTATAGTTTTGAAAAGTCAAAAACGAAAATCGTTAAATGATTTTTTTTTTGTGAAGTTTGTTGAAATCAAAAGAAGAACAAGCATTCAAATCAAATAGCACAAACCATTTTTTTTTTAATAATATAAGACTATTTTGAAGTTTAAAAATTTTTAATTCTTAAATTTTTAAAATTGAAATTTGAGTGGATTTTAAGATGACTTCCCAAGTGTATTAATATTTCGGAGTTTCAGCATTTGCGCCTTTATCTCACCATAAAACATATGAGCTTCTGTGCAGCTTTAACGATTTATTGTACATTTGAGTGTATGTACATACGTACATATACATATGTATGTATGTATGTATGCATATTATTTCTCTATTATTTAATGGTCAATTTCTTAACTTCTAATAGCATGGCACTCAACTAAAGGAAGCTTGCAGACATTAAAGCACCTTCAGCTGACAAATCGCACAAGCGTCGCCATAAGCACACCCAACCACATGTATATAAGTATTTATGTAACTAACAATTAACATGAAAGAAAGTGTAAAAAAAAAGTTGAGAAAATTATGTGAAACTCCATTGACTGACTGTAGCGATTAGACTAGTAAGTTTGCGGAAATTATCAAACGGCTGAGAGAATTGCCGACTAATAGCATAAATGACAGGCGCAGCAATGCGTAGTTCCGCCGGTGAAAGCATCAAGTCAAAAGAAAATTTCGCTAAACTCATTAAACTGCTCAATGGTTGACTTAGATAATGATCACAAAATATATGCATATATTTTTTCTACATTTCTTAGCAACAACTAATTCAATAATTAAGCATTTAAAGTTATTTATTCATTTCTGCAAACGATACATTTAATTTTCTTGCTCATTTTTTCTAACGCCTACCTTCGCTTGCCTCTTTTCATCACCAATTAACTTTACGTATCAACTTGACTTTTAGCAAAAAAAACTTTTTCTGCGCTGCTCACCTTCCATACAGTAAATAAAAAAGTAAACATTAATAAATTTATTATATACAGAATATTTTCATAGTAACCCTTTTAGCCTGGCGAAATGCGCTCACTTCATTAGCCACTGACATCTTTTTTTTCTCTGCTGTAAATAATTCAAAGGCGCTTTGTCATCATCATCATTGTCGAAACGCATTTTTTCGCTTCATCACTTTTCCTGCGGCAAATTGGTACGCTTGTACCCGAATTTCTTTTTTATTTCTTGTTTTCCTTTCTCTTCATCAAAATTATTTTTCTTTCATAAAAAAAAAAAAAACAAATCAAGAATTTTAACATATTAATCTGTTTTCTGATTTAACAAAATATTCTTTCTTCTTTTATTTACTTATTTCTCCCATTATAGGTCCAATGCATAGAGTGCAACAACAACAGCTCCGTGATGCGGCTAAATATCAAATACATTTAGGTAAAATTAACCAACTAACCTAACCGTTCAATCAATCACTACTAACCATAAATGCAAAACAAAGATTACTTAAAAAATATGAAAAGTAAATTAAATAAATTACTCACTCATTCCGTTTCGCTGTACTTATGTAGACCTTTGCACTTTTACTAACCGCAAATTATTTGAAAATACGTTTGCGTGTGTGTGTGCGTTTTGAAATGTCGTCGTTCCTAACTCTGAGTAGATGTTTTGTTTGATAAAAAAAAATGTTGAGCACTCCTTTATAAAGGCTAATATATAATATTTTTAATTAAACTAAATTATTTTTTTATGCTTAATCTCAGTTTTTTTACTTTAATTTATTTTGTTTATTATTTACGCATATATTTTTTGTTATCTTTTATTTTATTATCAATTTTTTATAAATTTTATTTAAATTTAAACTTTTATTTAATTTAGTTTCATTTTATTTTCTTTTGTTTATTTTGCTTTATTTTATTTATTTATTTTATTTAATTTTTTTTCCAGTATAAATAATTTATTTTTTATTGAAAATTAATATTTTTTTAATTTTATTCTGTTTACTTTATTTAATTCTATTTTGTTTTCCTTTTTTAATTTTATTTAAATCCATTTCAATTTCTCTTTTTAAATTTTGGTTTATATTTAAATTAATTTCATTTTTTATTTTTTACTTTTTCATTTATTTTTTTTTTAAATATAATTTAATTTTGAATTGTTTAATTTAGTTCAATTAATTGAGTTTTTAGTGTAATTTTGATTTATTTTATTTATTTAATTTTTAAATTTATTATACATTATGTACTATTAATTTTATGTTAATTTACTTTTATTTAATTTTGTTTCAATTGGTTTTAATTTAGTTTATTTCGTTTTCTTTTCTTTTATTTATTTCTCTTTATTTTACTTCATTTCATTCTATTTATTAGAATTTTATATTATTTTATTGCTTTTATTTATTTCATTTAATTCTATTTTATTTTGCTTTTTTTTGGTTTTGATTTACATTATTTATTTCTTACTCTTCGTTTCATTATTTTTCTTATTTAATTTAATTATATAGTATTTAATTTAATTTAATTTAATTTTATTTTGATTTGTTCTATTTAGGTAATTTTATTTTATTTAATACTCTGTCTGCGATTTAGACCGCATGGAATTTTAAGATGGTTTAAATAAAATTTATTAGGCTTACAACATTATTAATTTTCTCATAACTTGTAAACTATTATAAAGCCGAGACGCTAAATCGATCCCAAGCCCACTTTTCCGGAAGGAGAAAAAGTGTTTCCAATAATAGTATGGGCACAACGCTACTTTCGTACCAAATTTTATGAAAATCAAACAATTTAAAAGTACAAAATAGGTCCCAGACCAACTTCTCGGAAGTAAAAGTGTTCCCAATTATAATTTGAGCCCAAGGCTGCCCACTAGGCTACCAAATTTCATGGAAATCCAACTATAAATACCAATTTTTCGAAGAGATCGGTCTCGCGTCCACTTTCCGGAAAAAGAAAGTGTTCAACATGTCAAAATGTTATTCAGTACAAAACCTTTTATTTAATTGTTTAACATAATTTTTTGTTAACTATTTATTTTTTAATCTATTCTCCTTTTCTTGGATTTATTTTATTTTCATTATTTTACTTCTCTCATTTTTAATGTTTTATCTATTTTCCTCTACTTTTTATGTATTTGTTTGTAATTTGAACGTTAAAAATAATAATAAAAAACATAATTGAATTTCAAGCCTTCGAATTATTGTCACGTGCTGCACGTTACTCACGCATACAAATTCTTGGAAAAATCAATTTCACGGCCTACACTTGGCACTCGCAATATTGAATATTTATTTTTACTTTTTTTTTGCCCTATAAGCCAGTGTTTTCGCTTCAGATGGTGCCAGAAAAATACATCATATATGCACGTTTAAATAAACTATACTTTTTTTGTCGCTATTAATAATTGCGACATTTATTTTTCCAACCTTTTTCAGCGCAAAACAATAGTGCAATTTAGAAATTAACATTCCATAAAATCATTGCCGCTCAATATAAATAATTTCCACATAAATTTGGTGATCTTTTGTGTGGCGTCAAAGTAGGCGCAACGACGACTCTTTTGTCTATCAACTGTTTTTTTTTTTTGGTTTGTTTTGTTTTTGCGTTCATATTCGCTCGACCTGTCGGTCATTAATAATTTTATTAACAAGATATTTGTATGTAGATTTTTTTTTTAAATTTTAATGAACAATTTGTTTTCTTTTCATGTGCTTAATGTGTGTTTTAAGTAGTTTTTATATACCTACGGATACCAACAAATATATTACTTTTTAATTGCTTTTTTTTTTGCTTATGAAAAACGAAATTGTACAGGTGTGCTTTTTGCAGAACATACATATATATATGAAATTACTTCAGTTGTTCTATAGGCTTAGTGTTTTTGATATTTACTTTTTTTTTGCTTAGATTTGGTCGAAATGTTTAATTTTTTTCTTTACGTTGAAATAATTAAATATCCACCCTTTTCGATGGCAGCAGATCAAAGGTTACAAGAGCAGTCTAATTCAAGTTTGGTCTGGTGTCATCCAACATGTAAATAGAATTTTAGACAAAATAACGATCATCTCCCAGCTGACTTCTATTGTTGGTGAATGAAATGAATTTAGATGGCATAATTCTTGTTTGATCTCCAGCTGAGTTCCCGGTACCCATAACTAAACTGGGAAATTAAACGCCCTTTAATTTAACGAATCACACGTTTGACAACTCCAAATGAAGGTTTTGTCCGTATACGTATTTGTCTTGGATTATATTACATTTAACTATATGTATGCTCACATATGTACATATGTATGTATGTATGTAGTAAATATGTATCTGCATTCAACCTTTGTCTAAGCAATGATTTTCATATTTGAGATGAAAATATGAATTCTTTTCATTTCTGCCCTTTATATAATATATGTACAAATATGTATATATGTACATATTTCCGGTATGAAGCCGTCTCCTATCTACTAATGTAAGATAATATTTTTATACGGTATGTAAAACTCATATTTTTTTATGAATGAATATGCAATATTATATACATATATACATATATGTATGAATATATGCATTTTTTGTGCATTTACATACATATATGTATGTATTCATTGCCCATATTCACATTTACATATGTATGTTTATCAGATTTTATAGCACAACCAAGTTGTAAATTAATGATGTGCCTGTGGCGCTCATTTGGGTCTCCGCTCAGTCTCGACAACAACAAAAAAGCGCGACAACGACAAGGTGTTGTTATAGCTTATGTATGTAGATAAATGAGTATTTCCTCTTTGGCATAATGAAATTAAAATAATACATGGGCACATAAATAATTGGAAAATTGTATATTTGAATGTGTCCACTGTGGACATTTTGCTTGCTTCAATTCGCGATTTATTTTAGCAACGAAATGTAAGGAATGAAGTGCAAGAGATATAAAAAATTATCGCTGGAAAAATAAATTGATTCTTACTTATTATAATCAATTTAGATATTTTTCATTTAATATTAGTTTCAAATTAAAAAATTAAAACAGAAAAATATGAAAAAATAAAAATTTAAGGAAAAAGCTTTTAGCTCTTTAAAAAATGTTCATTTTATTTTGTATATTTTTTTTCGCAAAATTCTTTTCAAAATTTAATATTTGTGAGCATACTTTTTATCTGAAAAGCCATTTTTCTAACTCTAAAACATAGTATTTTTTTTTTCAAACCAACTAACATATCTCTACCATGTGCTCCAGAAAAGCGAACTTTGAAGAATAAGCTTGGAAGTTTTTCCCAGCTTCTTGTTTGGTTTCTTCCTAACTCACGCATGCTTAAAACCAAGTTGCGCTCATTAAAATAAAGCAAATTAAAAAAAAATCAAAAAAAAATCAAAAAAAGTAAAAAATAAAAGCTTTTGTTGAATCACCAGAAACGACAACCCAAAAATTAACAACAACAACAGCAATATTTGTGGTTTGCTGCTCCTGACGCGTTCCACATTTCTACATAAATATATACACTTGTCAGTTGCAAAATCTTTTGTGGTTATATATTTTTACGCAGTTGAGGTGGTGGAAAAATAAAATAATAATATAAAAGTTTGCAATAAAAATTAAAATGAAAATAAGAAGAAAAAAATAGTGCGAATTAAAAGTAGAAAGCAAGTGTAAAAACTAATATTTTGTATGTGTATACAGTAACTGAAATTTTAATCGTATTCAGGTAGCAGACAGAAATATTTTTGTTTCTACTTTTATTTGGTTTTTATTTTATTTATTTTGCTCAAAATCAAATAATAATAATAATAATAATAATATTATTTTAATTTCGTTTGTGTCGATTTTTAATATTTTCATCACTTGAAAACTTTGATATTTATTTTCTAAATGATGTTAATCATTATCACCCTAACCGGTATTAATTTAATATTTATACTCTACCTTAGTTACTTAAATCGGATTTAATAATTACTTTTATTTTACGTTAAATTGATGAATTTTGGTCATTAATATGAGTTACTGTACTCTAATTATTACACAATACAGAAGAAAAGTTCTAAGGAAATGAACACTACCACAATTCTAGCTTCAAAAGAATACTCAGAAATTTTTTTTTTTTATACCTTTCACGTACTTTGAATGGTATATTAACTTTGGTCCGAAATTAGGAAGCATCCATCAAAATTTCTACCAATATAATCAGAATGACGAGTTGAGTAGATTTAGCCATAACCGTCTGTCCGCCTGCTTTTACGTAACCTAATCTTCAGCTTTTGAGATATTTTAAACGATATCTTGTAGGAACCGGCCACTTAAGCCTAGTAAAAAGTTTTCTATTATTTTTGCATTCAGTTGAAGGCTTTGCTTGCCATATTTTGAATTATCTGATTTATGCCAAATACTTTTGCACCGTTTTGCTTGATAACTTTTTGCCATTTTGAATGTAATGTCATTATGCC